AGAAAAAAGAACAGAAGGGAAAAAAAAACGAGAAAAAAACCAAAGCTTCCCGTGAGTAGTGACGAATGAGTGATCCATCGGAGGGATAATCACTCAGGTGCGCGGCACAGATCTCTCTGCCATTATTGAGCACTCATGTCAAGGAGTGCCAATACAACCTCTCCTTCCCTTGTTCCCTCCGCTGGAAGACCCGTTCTTCCGCAATCCTCCACTCTTTGTGGATTCCGCCGTGGAGATCGCAGACCCACCTTGTGAGGAAAGCAGTTGAGAGCTACCCATGCCTCTAGCTCTTTGCCCATCCACCGCCATGTTGTGCAACCCTCTGCCGCCGAATTGCTCCTCTGGCGGATGATTGCCTCCCATTCGATCCTGTGATCCCGGTCTATCTGCGGCAACCGCATGGTGCGGGGGATCCCCGGGGGGGATCATCTGCTGCGCCGCGTTCGCCCTGTCCCTGGGTTCGTAGGGAAGTGCCCGTCGTCTGGGAGAGACGACTATAGGTGGGTTGTTACGTCGCCTTTTTGGGGCGTTCCCTTGTTCGTTTCGGGTGCCCCTGGCTCTGATCCTCGGATTGCCAGTGATCCTTGTGGGGAGCAATACCCTGCCAATGGTTAGAGGGGTATTGTATTTCCATTTCTCCATGCAAATAACGGATTCAGAGGTGAGGGAGGGATCCTTTTCAAGCGCAGAGATCATATCGGTCATGATCTCCCGAATGAACATGAAGGTAAGACAAGCCTTCACTGCGGGTTTCCACGATACTCGCAGAAAATGGATGAAAGTAGAGGTTCTTACCTTTACAGAGGCGATGTAGGGGAATAGGATGTCCGGATGTGCGAACAGATACCAAATCGCGTGGTCCATCCAGATCGGTCCTTTTTCCTTTCAGTAGCGCACCTGCATCTGAGGAGCGGTTTTAACCTTCTTCTGCCACATCACGGGGCTGGTGTACTCACACTTCGTGTGGTCGAGGGTCGATAGTAGAGGAAACGTTAGGAGGGTCGGGTTAAAGGCCTTTTTTCCTGGGGGGCAATATGGGAGTGCACCTGTCATTGCGTTTGCCTTGCACATGGCAACTTCCTCGTCGGTCAGGTTGGCGAGGAAAATGAGGGCTTTTACCGAGAACGGCGCAAGATGATTAAAGGTGTCGAGCTTCCAGAGTGCATGCATGAACCCAGTACCCGTGTGCTCAACCCAGTGTAAGGACGGGAGTGGTGCAAACACAGTGTATTGCCTACCTTGGGAGGATGAGGCCTTCTCTGGGGTGCAGCTAGCAGTAGCGGTTACTGCGGATATGGCTGCATTTAATTCCGCCATTTCCTCGTCGTCCATGGCAAGGGCTCCGGCGATGGTGCAGCCGACCGCCGGCGTTTCGGCGGCCTGCCCTTGTAAATGCGAGTGATCCAGTCCTCAAATCTTTAGAAACGTTTGTTCTACTTTTGCCGTTCTGGCGGGCAGTTCCATGCATTCTCTCTCATAATCCGTCCTTTTCTTCTCTAAACTCGCAGCAGTATCTAGGAGTTTGGCAACAAAGGCATCTTTTCCTTGATCCCAGACACATGCAAGATTAGCAATATCACTAAATCCAATCATGCAAAAAAATTGGGAAAGTCCCCCGTCTCGACCAATCTCTTCATCGCGTCCAGTATCTCGGGTTTCAGCGTGGCGATGAGCGCTTGCGTTAGTTTGTTGGGCCACGGTTGTTCCTTAGCCACTCGTACTTACGAGTGAGTTCGTCCCACCAACCTCCTGGGAAAAACTCCTTCAGCGGAATCTGCAGAAAAAACAACGACAAACAAACACACAAACATGCACGCACGCAAAACAATATATACCGACTGAAACGAGGTAGGTTGGCGGAACATCGACTTACTCCAGCTTTTTCCCTTGCAGAATACGTGGACGAGGTGATCTCATGCAATCGCATTTCCCTGTCTGACCGGGTTTCGATTGGCGAATGCCTGTGCAATACCACGCCTGCCTCACAGGGGTATGGTTGGTGGGGCACACCACCAACAACGCTGACTTATCAGGCCACATAACCCATCTCATGGGATTCCTGCGTGTAAAACGATGACTAGGACTCATTCCCCACGTATGCGCAATCCTATGGCCCAGAGAGACGTCTTCTTCGGAGGGCGAGTGGAACTGAAAAAGAGGGAGGAGAGCATACATCCTTAAAGCAAGTATATGTATATAATATGATAATCGATACTCGCGTAAGGGCGTAGGACTTCATCGAGCTATCTGCGTTTGGAAAAACATTATGCAATCGTTATTTTTATCACTCATTACTTCTGCGGATCTTATATTCATATGCGAGGGTGCTCGTGCTTCGTTGCTCCGTCCATGGTGAAAAGCCACGTGGACAGGCATGTGGCACAAGTACGTCTCTGTGGTTTGGAAAAACTTATATCACGGGGATAATCGTGTGACGTAATCTACATGACCTCCGCCTGCACTATCGTTGGTGACGTGAGGCGGATTAGTCCGATGGGAGGGGACAATATTTGTGCATGAAATAAAACATTCTAAACATTCTCATTTTATCCCCAAAGACACATGGACTTATTCATCCCAAACCTTCAATCCATTGGTAAGGAAGATTGACATACATCAGGAAAAAGATCAGTCCGATCGGAGGGGCTTATTGACATACATCAACAGAAAGAGAAAGAGAACGCGTTCTTAATGAAATACGAAACGATACAATTGCATACATACCCCCCCGTCTAGGCTTCATTCACATGGCAGAGATGTGACAAATATTCTGAGGTTCCCTGTATTTAATATATGAGATTGAGAGCATTTGGCACCACCCATCATAGTATCCAATCTCTTTGCCGATCTTGTCGGTTGATTCGTGGATAGATACTGAGTCCGGGGGCAATCTCGTTTGCCAAAAAATGTGCGTATATATATGTATGAACTATGCATTGTAAATTATTACTTCTCACGCCTATCCCTAAACCAATCATCCAAGCAAGGGTCGCATTTTAAGATATGAGTGATCACACTTTTGAGAAAACACTCGTTCGTCAAAAAAATGTACATATATATATATATATATGTTTAAACCATGCATTGTAATTATTACTTATCACGCCTATCCTTAAACCAATAATCCAAGCAAGGATCATAATTCAAGATATGAGTGATCACACTTTCAGAGAAAACACGTGTTGATTACATATCCAACGCCCTCCTTTTATAGAAAGAATGAACTCTCCATTGGCACAAAAGCTGAAGTGTCACCGCTCTCCTCTCCTTTCCACTCAATAGATAACATGATGCGCAGACTTGTACAAAAAATGAATATGAAGAAACTCGCTGCATCCCTAGTGGCAGTTCCACGTAATATGGGAAATCTGCCACAACAGCCAAAGCAGGGAGCGTAGTGGCGATCCCCTGAAGTGCTTTTCTATCGCTAGCCACCAGTACACGGCTTCATCAGAGGGAACACCTGCTTTAAGGTCATAAATGCTTCGTGAGTCGGAGCGGCGCTCGAGGCGGCAAAGCTTGCAAGTGGTGTAAGAAGGCAAGAAAAGAAAGAAAAGCAAGCAAGGCAACAAAAGCGAGCAAAACGTAGGCTGACATCTCGATAGCTATCCCCATCTTCTCATCTGCCCCCTCTCTGTTCAACGCCATTGCCCCTAGCTCGACTAGTCTGCACACTGCCCAACGCAGAAGTTGAAACGGAAAGAAGACTAGCATCATCAGCAGTTCAACCCCCCTGCGTGCAATGAGAGAACGACGCAAAGAATGGAATATCGTGCAGTCTCTTAGCGCATGCGGGTGCATCACAAGTGACCGAAATAGTCAGGAAATTCTGGAGGTGAGGGCGAGGAAGCTTATACCCTGTCTTCTTCGTCATCGATCATTCGATCTAACAATTCCTGATCCACCTTGTAATTCATGGCGAAGGCAACCGCGCAGCACCAACGTCCCGGTACAAAGCTCAGAACTTTGTCTGCCCGATCTTCTGCCAACTGGAATGCCTGCCGCCGTTCGGTCCGCAATCATGAATTACGGTCGGGCGAAAAGCCTGTGCGCTGATCCGATGATGGGAGTCGGGGGGATGTTCCACTTGCTCAAATGGTGCCCCGTCATCGTCACTTTCCGAGAGATATTGCCCGCGGGCAATACAAACGTCGATGGTGACGTGAGGCGGGAAAAGAACAAATAAGAAAACAAAAACAAAAACAATAGCAGAAAAGTTCGAGACGACTTCCCTTGATTGGGGGGATACGATCCGTATCACACGCCTTCTGATTGTCCTACCCAGTTGGTCGAAACGTTACTACTGGTGATCTGTGTAAAAATGTAAAAAAATAAAAAGTAAGGAAAAAAGAAAAAAGAAAATAGTACTCCGTCATCGTCACTCTCCGAGGGATATTGCCTGTGGGCAATACAAGCGCCGTTGGTGACGTTAGGCGGGGGGACTTAAGCAGAAAATAGAACACAAATAAAAAAAAAGACAAAAATCAAAAATCAAAAACAAAAACAAAAACAATAGCAGAAAAAAATTGAAACAACACCCCCTGATTGTGAGGATACGATCCATATCACACGCCTTCTAAGTGTCCCATCCAGTTGAGCGAAACGTCACTACTGGAGAATGTGCATGCCTTGCTATTCGTATCATTGCGCGCACGGGTTGTGCGTATAATCAGGCTCAGGTTTATTGCAGGCTGTGAGCATTCTCCTGGCCCATAACTGCTGTCCTGCGCGCATCTTTCGTGGCGTAATACGCTCTGAACGAGCTTGCACGACAACTGGGGTGTGCCGTACTCGTTTGGGTTTCTCGGTCGTCGTAATTTCGCACAATCTTCCATCAAGGTTTATCTTTTATTATTATTATTTATTTATTTATTTACTCGCTCTGTCCGGCCTTTTTAATGCCTTTACCAGTTGCTTCCTGTGCTTGGTGATTCCTCCCTTCTTCCAACCATCCTCGCTCCTTGTCCCCTTGTTATGTGTGTGTGTGTGTGTGTGTGTGTGTGTGTGTGTGCAAACAGACTCACTCTCTTCCACACTTTACATGCATGCAAACTGGTGCGCGGCAAACTGGCGACGTGTGGCCACTCAGAACTCAGAGATATGGTACCGAGAACACAGTTCAGATTCAAGTTCACTTCGAATGGCTATGTGTGTATGTGTGTGTGTGTGTGTGTGTGTGTGTGTTTGTGCGCGCGTGTGTGTGTGTGTGTGTGTGTGTGTGATGTGTGATGTGTGTGTGTGTGTGTGCGCGCGCGCGTGTGTGTGTGTGTGTGCGCGCGCGCGTGTGTGTGTGTGTGTGCTAGGTCGTTGCCCCGTGAGTCGCGCAGGTCCCGCGCGGCGGCAACTGCGACCCTCCCCACAGGGGCAGGCGCGGGAGCTGCGCGGTTCGCGGGGAGGGTCCCAGTTGCGGGCTCGCGAGAGAGATAGAGATAGATAGATAGATAGATAGATAGATAGATAGAGATAGAGATAGAGAGAGAGAGAGAGAGAGAGAGAGAGAGAGAGAGAGAGAGAGAGAGA